CATTTCAACGACAATGAGCATGTGTAATAGAGTTGATGGGTGTTCATATATTTTCTTGTTTATTTTTCATATGGACAATTGTTTAGATTGAAGTGAGATTGCAGAAGGTATAACTCTTTATGATTATCTAATTTAATTAATCTTCGTAGTTTTTAACCTAATAGATGATACAATTTTTACAAATAAACATATGATACAAATGTGTCATTATTGGTGGGTTAGTATTTTAACCAAACGAACATACACAACCGGAAGTAAAAATAATGTACTGATTTGGGTAATATCACGTGTTGAATATTCAAACATAAAAATCACAACTATTATATCCTTTAAAAATTCAGTGAAATCACCAATCTGAAATGTTTCTTTTCATCCAATAAGTCGTGAGGGAAAAATTCAACGAATTACGAAAATTAGATAAGAATGGTAAACATAAAGAAGGCGTGGAAACCTTATTGAACTTACTAGATGGATCTGACGAACCTGGAAAATGGAAATCTTTTGTAGATTCACTACAAAAAGCAGGTAAACATAGATGTGATTTAAGATTTTTCATATCAAAAGGTAGTGTATTTTTAGCCGTGAACTGGATGAGCATCTTTTTCACTATATACCCGGCATTATCATTTACCCATGCGCATTTAAAAATTCCCTACCCAAAAACTAACTCTTTAGAAGACCCTTAAGACAGCTTTGCCTTGTTTCAGCATATTTCAACATAAATGGTTATCCCTACCTTACCTTAAAAAAGTCACTAAATCCCATATTTGACACTAGATTGTTATTTTGATTTTCACTTTCGTTTATTTAGGCCTACCGTAAATTTGCTTAGCAACATATCACGATCTATTTCAATATTGTCACGTGATGACGTGATTCGTGTAGAAATAACATTTGAGAGACATTAGAACTGGTCGTTCAGGACTCTAGGTGTTTCAAAAAAGTCAATTAAAACAAAACATTTGTTATATTTGGATAGCCGATAGTCAAAATATAGCTTTCCAAGAGGCTCTAAATTTATTTTGGTCGCGATATTACTTGACAGATCACTGCTAAATACCGGAAGTATTCACCATTCATTATCGAGACAGATTCAGCTTTAAAGAAACTGCTGAGGATTGCCGAGTGGCAAAAAAGCAAAAGGAAATCTCAACCTGTTCTACTATGGTTTGCAAATGACAAACTTGTAAAAGTTTGAGTTAGGTCATACTATTCTCTTTTTCTGATTTTAGAGTACGAACATCTATATAACAGCATAGAGGGTTTCACGGATATTACATTGAACATTGAAGGCAACAAGCAGTATAGTTTGATTAGTCTTTATTTGAATGATATTATAACTCAAGTGGGATTAGGACAGTCTTCTAATGTTTTGACTCGGTTATATGAACATAAGGTTATCACTGGGCAGCAACTTGAAATACTGTCGAAATCTGTTCGAAACAACAGCCAGCAGGACGCTTGGTTAGACCTTTTCAGTTACATTCATAAAAGACACAACAATTGGTATTATATATTATTGGAAGCTTTTATTGAGAATGGCCACACAGAGTTGGTAAAAAGTATTGACCCCGACTTTATGTCAGGTATGTGCATTTCATTTATCATCGTTATCACGATATCTGTCAAGGATTATAAAATCTGCGCCATTTTATTTGAAAATTTAAATTTTATACATTCTACCCAAAATTTCAGAATGCATCAAATTAAATCTATTTTTTAAAAACATATTGTGGATGAATCCTCACAGACTTGCGTCTGTGGACTTCAACAGAGCTGCTGCAAGTCTTATCTCAACATGGTGGAAATTGATGCTATCAGTGTTTTCGATACACATAATTTTACAATCCCTTTATTTAAAGTAAAAACCCCTCTTTAATTTATTGAGGCGATAATTTCGCTTATATACAATGTTTGAGTAAATTACTGTATATATATATTTTTATAGATAAAGGCGGAAAACATTTCAATTATGAGAAAATGGACTATGAAGAAAGCGTATTAACTGGTTTGTTACATTACTTTACATTAATTTAATTGCAGTGCGTTCGCTTGTTAGCAAATGACTATTTTTTGTCTGCTTCTGGTCACGCTCCCCAGACAAAACTGCACGTCACACATTATCTGACATGATCATCTGTCATACTTAGCGTGTCGATATTAGGTGAATGTAAAATGACCAACCGGAAATGACGTAGGACTTAAACCATTCATTGCGTATTTCGAATTACTGCTCTAATTCTGAATCTATTTTGACCGTACTTTTTGTTTTGTTCATTACTTTAAATTAATTTCAGATTTTGACTTTTGTCTCTGGCTTTTTTGGTTTTTAAGTTAAGTTGTTTTTTCAACAATTCCATTTCAATCGGTCTGAAAGTTTACGAATAGATAGACATTTTGATTGCGAACACAATTCTGTTCTCAAATTTTTTGTATCACTTTTACGTCAGTTGAAATTTCAACTTCTGGAGTTTTATGGATATTCGAAAATTCTTTTTGCAGCATGCTAAAATTGTATATGTAAAAGATTTGAAATGGTAAAATTCGTCCCGGAAATATTAGATCAGCCGCCATCTTGAAATGACTACATTTTATATAAAATTATAAATATATAATTATCAGTGAACGATTCCTAACAATCGTGTGGGAGCCGATTTTTGAATTTCGATTTTGATTTTTAGTTATTTCCGGTTGATTTTTTTCAATATTGTCCAAAACTTTCAAAGCTCATATCTCGCGATCTTGACCTTTGGTGACCTTGTGACCAGCACAAAAATTGTTGCCTTAGACGAGATCTATCCAAAGATGTCTTCATATTTGATGTGCAACGTTAACTTCTGGTTCTAGGCTACAGCCGTTTGAAAATCACGTGACCTAATTAACATACGACAATTTTTTTTACATATTCTTAAAGTGCATGATCTCTGCTTGTTGGTGATATATCACACGTGATATTTTGATCAAAACTGCCCTTTTTAAAAATTAAAAAAAATTGTACTGACTTCTATAGTAACTGTGCGTAAATTCACGGTGTCTATAATCCTCCGACAGTCACCGTTGCCTTAAAAACTTTGAAATTTTAAACATTATTTAAAATTGTAAACATTATTAGAGACAAAACAAAAATTTTTAAGTGGGCCTAGCAAATCCGGGTTACTTTTAAATTGAAATTCGCAAAATTTGCATTTGTCACCATCGAAATTTTGCATAAAAATAAATTACTACTTGGGATTATAAGTGAACAAGTTACATTTGTTTGGGCCGTTTACTTTAAAAAGGGAATAGGTTTTACAATTTATAAAATTTTGATATTTTGACCTTTGACATACATGAATTTGATATTTGCAAGGTCAAAGGTCATTGATCTATGATGTCCATTCATACTTTTATCTTTGATGTCCGACATATATTCCGCTTTTACAAACGTCCCAAAAAGCAATTTTCAATATTTTAAATCTCCTTTATTTGACCTTTGTTGATCTCTTGACCCATCAAAAGCTATTTTGCTTGACGAGATCTATCCGAAAATATTTTGTTGTGCGATTTGACTTTACAGCTATTTAAAAATTCGACTTTGTACTACCGAATGTTAACACCATTTAATACCGAATAGTATCAAATTCATGCGTCTTTTCATTACCGAACGTTAAACTGA